TTTTTTTTTCGGTTGCAGCCATCATTGTTGTTTGGCGGGCCCGGGCTGGATTCCAACCCGCCACCTTAGGTGTATGTGGCTGGCGCCTTAGCCACTTGAGCCACAGGCGCCAAGCCAGAAGAACATCTTAAATGACCTCACAGGGATGTAATTAACAAAATGCAGAGTGTGGGAAGCTATTAAATAAATTATAAGGAAAAAAGATGAAGTAATGTATAGAATGAAAGTGATTTAAGAGATATATTAATTAAATACCACAGCAGACTGCCCTCCTCCCCCGCCGAAGTATTGTGTGTTTGTTTATGTGAAACAACAGAACACACAGCACAAGGCAGCAGTGGATGGGGGTCTCTGACCTACTGACACAGTGTCAGTGTGGCTGACAATGATTTGAACAGGTCAACAACACCAAAAGGGATAGTTAGGGAAATTCGAACATTGGATGTTTGATAATATCAGGGAATTAAAACTGTTTCTGTATAAAGTTGTTTTGAGATACATACTAAAAATTTATGAATGATTTGAAATATCTAAGATTTGCTTCAAAATACTTCAGTGTCAGGATGGCCGAGGAGAAAGAGCAGAGGGTGGGTGGGTGGGGTAGGATGGAATAAGATTGCCCGTGAGCTGATAATTGTTGAAACTGGATGATGGATACATGCTATTCTTGCTACTGTTTTCTCTGATCTTGTTTATATTTAGAGTTTTCCATAATAAAAAAATGGTTAAATCACTTGGGGAACTTTAAAACAATATGGATCCTGTTCTTCCCTCTCCCAAAAGATTCTGATGTATTGGGCTGAGATAGGGTATCAATTTTTTTTTAATTTCTTAATTTTTTTAAAATTAATTAGAATGTTTTTAGTATTAGGAAGAATCCAACAGACAAGTGGAAGGTGAAAGAAGGAGTTTTTTTTTTTTTTTTGGCAGGTTTTGGCTGGGGCTGGGTTTGAACCTGCCACCTTCGGCATATGGGGCCAGTGCCCTACTCCTTTGAGCCACAGGCACCACCCCGATAGGGAAACAATTTCTAAAGCATCCCTGGGACTCTGATACATAGCCAGAGTTTGAGAACCACTGCTTCATGTTACATTCCTAGATGACCTCATCTGTTGCTTTACTGCCACCCATGTGCTGATAGCTCCCAGAGTAGCACCTCTAGCCCTCACTGTCCCTTGCTTACACCTGGGCTTATATGTTCATCTGCAGACCTGACATCACTAACTTGGAGATCAAAAAAACACCCATATATGAACATGGTGAAAATAGAACTCTTTTTTTTTTTTTTTTAAAGAGACAGAGTCTCATTGTGTCATCCTCGCTAGAGTGCTGTGACGTCACAGCTCACAGCAACCTCCAGCTTTTGGGCTTAGGTGATTCTCTTGCCTCAGCCTCCAGAGTAGCTGGGAGTACAGGCACCTGCCGCAACACCTGGCTATTTTTTGTTGCAGTTTGGCTGGGACCAGGTTCAAACCCCCCAACCTCAGTATATGGGGCTCATGCCCTACTCACTGAGCCACAGGTGCCACCCTGAAAAACAGAACTCTTTTTCAATCCCAAACCTGTTCTCTCCTGGTCTTTTCTGTCTCACTAAATGGCACTCACATTCACCCAGTTACTGGTAGTGAAGAAATAGTTCTACTAACCTAACAAACTAACATGGAAAACTTCTCTAGAGGATCCAGAGAGGGTCTCTTTTTTGAGTGACTCGAGCATTGACCATAGAAAATGTGCAGCATTCTCTGAGAATATTATGAAGGTTGTTGTGATTTGCTCTTTAGCTCTTATCCCTCCCAAATCCTGACATTTTGAGCCAGTGATTGAATTTGAATGATACTAAGTTCTTTTGTAGATTTTTCTACCAAAACATTTGGAGGAGTTGGGATGAAGAGGAGGAGGATGAGTACGATTATTTTGTCAGATGTGTTGAGCCTCGTTTGAGATTGTAAGTATTTGTTTTTGATTTTATACATGTTGGAAAAATCCATGTTTTAATTTTACGTGTTTAAGATACACACTTCAGGGTCCCCTAGAGAGAAATAGACACATACAAATAGTACAACCCCTCAACAGGTGATTAAATGGAACTTGGACAAGTCCGCACACACATGCTGTTAGTGTTTCTAGACTGAGTCTAACAGCAAGGAGTTTAAGAACATCTAAGTTAATAGTTAACTGTTTTTTGAATCTGAGGAAAATTCTATTGAGCCAGTATGTTAAGAGTCCTATGTTAAATTCAAAGACAATTATTTGAAAATTGGAATTACTTAAATTATAGAAGACTTTTTTGGTTAGAACAGTCACATCCCAAAGGGGAGATCAGGGACTGACCCCACTGATGTTTTGTTTTGTATAAAGTTTGTTTTGGAGGACAACAGAGAACACAAACCCCTGACCCCCCAGTGGTATGCATCTGTTTATTTTTAGTTTTTTTTTTTTTTTTTGAGACAGAGCCTCACATTGTTACCCTGTTAGAGTGCTGTGATGTCACAGCTCACAGCAACCTCAAACTCCTGGGCTTAAGTGATTCTCCTGCCTCAGCCTCCCAAATAGCTGGGACTACAGGCACCCACCACAATGCCTGGCTATTTTTCATTTCAGTTGTCATTGTTGTTTAGCTGGCCCGGGCTGGGTTCGAACCCGGCAGCCTTGATATATGGGGCTGGTGCCATAACCACTGTGCTATGGGTGCTGAGCCACAATTGTTTATTTTTAAAAGGATACATTTAGGCTTGGTGCCCATAGCTCAGTGATTAGGGTGCTGGCCACATACACCAGGGCTGGCGGGTTCAAACCCCTCCTGGGCCTGCTGAACAACAATGACAACTACAACAAAAAAATAACTGGGCATTGTGGCAGGCAGCAGTTCAGGTGTATGTGGCTGGCGCCTTAGCTGCTTGAGCCATAGGCATGGAGCCTGGGCAGATTCTTTATTAAGATAGGAGCAGAGCTCACTACAGGCAAAATTTGGAGTCAAACCATATTCTTGACTTAGCACTGTGCACTAAATGCTTTTCCCTACTAATTCAAACACACTGCTTCAGAACTGGTGCTGGTACATTGCCTGTAGTCTACATTGCTTCTCATTATAATAAGAAGAAATAAGCCAGCTAGTATGGGTATTGAAAATGCTAAGAAACTTATTTTATAATTTGAGTCATACTCTTTACAACTTAATAGGCCAGTGATTTGGTCCTCAGTTTCTTGTTTACAAAGTAGATTTCTAGAATATCTTTATTTTTAAAATTTTTTTTCTTTCTTCTTTTCTTGTTTATTTTTTCTTTTTATTTCCTTGCCTTTGGTTGTTGTTGTCATTGTTCAGACAGAGTCCTACCCTATGCCCTGAGCAAAGTGCAATGGCATTTGTAGCCCACTACAACCTCAGATTTGGGCCGTGGCACCCTGTTGCCTCAGCCTCAGGAAGCCACTGGGATTACAGGCGCTCAACTATGGCACCTGGCTGGGTTTTTCATTTTTTTATGAGTCAGGGTCTCCCTCTTGCTCAGGCAAGTCTTGAACTCCTGAGCTCAAGCAATTCTCCCTTCTCAGCCTCCCACAGTGATGGAATTACAGGTGTGAGCCAACTTGCCTGCCCAGCTTGAGGAACTCTGAGTATGCATTAACTAAAGGGGATAAAAATCTTTGCTTTTCAAGGTTCACCTAATTTATTTACTTGAAAAACAGGAAAAATTTTATTTTTTATTTATTTTAAATATTATTTGAATGTTCACCATAATTTTATGTAAATTTGCTTAGGATACAATTCTGGGTTTCATTCTTTGTCTTACTCAGAATATGACTAAGTTTATTTATTCATTTTTTTTATTTATTTGAGGCAGAGTCTCACTTTGTTGCCTTTGGTAGAGTGCCATGGTCCTCTTTCCTCAGCCTACTGAGTAGCTGGGACTACAGGCACCTGCCACATTGCCTGGCTTTTTTGTTGTTGTTGTCATTGTTATTTAGTAGGCCTGGGCTGGGTTCAAACCTGCCAGCCCTGGTGTATGTGTCTGGTGACCTAGCTACTGAGCTACAGGTGCTGAGCCTATTATTTTTATTTTTGAGACAGAATCTCACTATGTCACCCTTGGTAGAGTGCTGTGGTGTCACAGCTCACAGCAACGTTAAGCTCTTGGGCTTAAGTGATTCTCTTGCCTCAGTCTCCCAAGTAGCTGGGACTACAGGCACCTGCCACAATGCCTGGCTATTTCCTTTCTTTTTTTTTGGTCACTGTTGTTTAGCAGGCCGGGGCCTGATTCCAACCTGCTAGCCCCGGTGTATGTGTCCGGCGCCCTAACCACTGAGCTATGGGGGCTGAGCCTAAATGGACTTTCTTAATGATAGGAAAATGTGGCTGAAAGGCAATGGATTTCAATGTGCTTTTAAACTTTCAGGCATTATGACATTCTTGAAGACCGTGTTCCCTCAGGACTTGTTGTTGACTACCGCAATCTGTTGTCTCAGTGTGAGGAGAATTACAGGAAATTTTTAAATCTGAGAAGCAGTTTATCAAATTGTAACTCTGACTCTGAGCAGGAAAATATCTCCATGGTGGAAGGGTTAAAACTGTATTCTGAGATGGAACAGTTGAAACAAAAGCTAAAGCTCATCGAGAATCCTTTGTTAAGGTACGTGTGTCCCTCTTATCTCAGCTAGTTAGTGTCTGTCCTTACCAGTTGCCTTACTGAACACTGGTAACTGTGTTTGATGTCTTTAAGGTATGTGTTTGGTTATCAGAAGAATTCTAATATCCAAGCGAAAGGCATTCGTCCAGATGGTCAGAAGGTCACTCACGTGGTCTCCTCTGCCCTGATGACCGGCCTGCTGAGGACCCTGCTCAACGACAGGCTCTGCCAGGAGGAAACAGAAATTCAGGTAAAGGAGATTTTCTCCCTTCAGGTGGCTCTTTCTTTTTATTCTTTCCAGGTTTTCATGATTTCTACAAAGTGTTTAGTGAGAGATGTCTTTCTGTAGCTGTAGGAACCCTGCCTTTCTGTAGCTGTAGTCCTTACCTGGCATGCACGAGCCATACACTGTCACAGGAGATGCTTCAAGATGCAGTTCTGGGTCTGTGTTCAAAGTGAGGCAAGAAGGCACCTAGCCTGATATTCACATTGCTATGAGGAGTTGTCTGTGTGCAATATGTTGTTGTTTTCTAGTTCCATAGGGATCCGTTGTCTGCTATAAATGCCTGCTATGAAGGTGACACTGTTATTATTTGTCCTGGCCACTACATAGTAAATGGCACGTTCTCCATTGCTGACTCCATTGAGTTGGAAGGTGAGTATGGAAGTATAAATAAGTAAATTGTCTGTGTTGTTGAAGCGCCAATAATGTGATTTCAGCCCATGTGATTTAAAATGGGTTGCCTAGAAACATTAAGGGTACTGAAAGGTTAAAGGGAAGTGACCCAGGGTTTGAGTGACTTGTCTTATGGTTTTGTACGGCAGTACATACGTTGGGAAGGTGTTCTTAGATACACTTCCCAAAGAACTATTGGGAAGAAGCATGCTTTCCAGATTATAAGTGGTTTATATGAAGGAAATCTAATTTTTAGAGTATTTAGAAGATATTTCCAGCAGTATTTTTAACAATTTTAGTGATACTTAGGTTTGTGCTTTTAGTGTATGTTGTGGATAGCTTAGTGCATAGTTTTCTTGTTGTGGTTTTGTTTCAGATTTCGCCTGTTTTTTGTGAGAAATATCATTAAGGGCATTTAACTTGAGATTGGTACCTAAAAATTATCTAAATCTTGTAAAAGCTTGATAATGTCACAAAAGCTATGCCTTGTATATTGATGTAAGTATACTTTTGAAAACATTAATGTTGAAGATTCTGTAAAAATAACTTTTTAGGGGCAGCGCCTGTGACCCAGTGAGTAGGGCACCAGCCCCATATACCAAGGTGGCAGGTTGGAACCCGGCTCTGGCCAAACTGCAACAAAAAATAGCCCGGTGGTGTGGCGGGCGCCTGTAGTCCCAGCTCCCCAGGAGGCAGAGGCAAGAGAATCGCCTAAGCCCAAGACCTGGAGGTTGCTGTGAACTGTGACGCCATGGCACTCTTCCAGGGGCGACAAAGTGAGACTCTGTCTCTAAGAAAGAAGAAAGTAACTTCTTAGCTACTTCTTAGCTAAGAAAGTAACTTCTTAGCTTGTTACAATCTTATTGCTCATTTAGAATGATTTCTAAATTTAGGTTACTTTACAATTGTTCATCTCGGTCTTCTGTATTTCCATAACCTGTGAAATTGAAGTGTACCCATTCACCTATTTACTGGAACAGTGTCAAGTTAGCAGTAAAATGGTATATCATTTTGGGACTTGTGCAGCTATTCAGAAATTGCTTAAGTTACCTGCTTTATCTTGTCAAAACTTCTTCGGCTTGGTGCCTGTGGCTCAAGTGGCTAAGGCACCAGACACATACACCTAAGGTGGTGGGTTTGAATTTAGCCCGGCCCACCAAACAACAATGACGGCTGCAACCAAAAAATAGCCCGGCGTTGTGGCAGGCGCCTATCCCAGCTACTTGGGAGGCGGAGGCAGGAGACTCGCTTGAGCCCAGGAGTTGGAGGTTGCTGTGAGCTATGATGCCATGGCATTCTACCCAGGGCAACAGCTTGAGCCTCTGTCTAAAAAAAAAAAAAAACAAAAAAACACTTCTTCTTCTTTTTCTTTTCTTTTTGAAAAAGAGTCTCAAGTTGTTGCCTGGGGTAGAGCGCTGTGGTGTCATAGCTCACAGCAACCTCTTGGGCTTAAGCGATTCTCTTATCTCAGCCTCCTGAGTAGCTGGGACTACAGGTGCCCACCTGGATATATATATATATATTTTTTGGTTGTTGTAGTTTTCATTGTTTTACTTGACCCTGGCCGGCTTTGAACCCACCAGCCTCAGTGTATGTGGCCAGCACCTTAACACTGAGCTACAGGCACTGCCCTTGTCAAAACTTATTAATACAAGCAAGCAATAGAAGTTTAACACTAGTACTTCATCTTACCCCCTTTTTTGTTTTATGTGTGTAATTTGTTCTTTTTCCTTTTCATTATCTGATTTCTAATATATGTGTATATAAATAATACATCTGCAGGATAAATCACTGCAATTAAAACACTTTATTTTTTGGCATAGTGAAAATAACATTGATATTATAGATTGTCTGATGAATAACAATTCTTCCTATGTTGGTGAGGAGGTTATAATGTAATCCCCAGCATGTCATAAATAACCACATAAAATTCTGATAACAAATTATGGTCAGTTTTACACTTTACAGAATGAGTTTCTGAGAATTGGGGAACTAGATGTTATCTCCAGTGTGAATACGAGGAATACTTATTTGTGGGTAAGATTGAAGCGTATCCAGTAGTGATCTATAGCTAACAGTTCCAGCTACTATGTACAGAGTGTCAACAGTATATCACAGTAGGTCTTGTCTTGTTTGGAAAATCCATTCACAGGCGGCACCTGTGGCTCAGTGGGCAGGGTGTTGGCCCCATATACCCAGGATAGCAGGTTCCAACCCAGCCCCGGCCAAACTGCAATAAAACTATAGATGGGCATTGTGGCGGGCACCTGTAGTCCCAGATACTCGGGAAGAGAATCATGTAAGGCCAAGAGTTGGAGGTTGCTGTGAGCTGTGTGATGCCACGGCACTCTACCATGGGCGAGAAACTAAAACTCTGTCTCTACAAAAAAAAAGAAAAAAGAAAATCCATTCACTCCCTTATAGGTGATGGTTTTGGTTTTAAATCCATAAGAATACCTATTTGTATAAAATCTGTTTTTATTCAATATTTTTAATTTTCTGGCTCAGTGCCTGTGGCTTAAGCGGCTAAGGCACCAGCCACATACACCTGAGCTGGCGGATTCGAATCCAGTTGGGGCCCTCCAAACAACAATGACGGCTACAACCAAAAAATAGCCGGGCATTGTGGCAGGTGCCTGTAGTCCCAGCTACTTGGGAGGCGGAGGCAGTAGAATCGCTTGAGCCCAGGAGTTGGAGGTTGCTGTGAGCTATGGTGTCACGGCACTCTACTGAGGGTGACTTGAATTTCTGTCTCAAAAAAAAATTTTTTTTTTAATTTTCTGATAAATAAACAATGGTTATTGTGGAAGATATGCAACATGCAGGCAGACATACAAAAGATACAAAAGATCGAATTGAACTTAGAGTGATGCAGACACCCCCAAGTCCGCCATGGGCAGTGTCCCAGTGTGTGTGGTCCTCTTGCCTTCTCTGGTACCCCAGAGTATTATCTACTCTCTTCAAGTATAAATAAATTCTGAGGCTTTGCCTGTTTAATGATGTTATTAATACCACTCTCATTTACTCAAATAAAGACTTGTTTCTCCAGATAGTGAGAGTTATTTCCTACTTATGGCTTTGTCTATGTGGTTCTGTCTTACCATGAAAGTCAAGCAACTTCTTTCATTTTCTGATACTCCAAGTTTTGTAAGCCCATCCAGATGCTCAGTCTACATTAATAGTTTAGTTAACATTTATACAGATCTGGCTGGGTGCAGTGGCTCATGCCTCAGCCAACCACCCTTGGAAGGCCGAGGTAGGTGGATTGCTTGAGCTCATGAGTTTGAGACCAGCCTGAGCAAAAGAAGACCCCATCTCTCCTAAAAATAGATAAAAAGAAAAACTGAGGCAAGAGGATCACTTGAGCCTAAGAGGTGGAGGTTGAGCTATGATGCCACGTCATTCTACCCAGGGCAACAGCTTGAGACTCTGTCTCAAAAAACAACAACCAAAAAAGATTTTTTTCTTTTTTTTAGAGACAGAGTCTCACTTTGTCACCAAAGCAACTTCCAACTCCTGGGCTTAGGCACTTCTCTTGCCTCAGCCTCCTGAGTAGCTGGGACTATGGATGCCTGCCACAATACCCGGCTATTTTCTGTTGCAGTTTGGCCGGGGCTGCATTCGAACCTGCCACCCTTGGTATTTGGGGCTGGTGCCCTGCTCACTGAGCCACAGGTGCCACCCTACAAAAAATGATTTATACAGATCTGATTTTTTTTTGGAGACCAGAGTCTCACTCTGTTCCCTGGGTTAGAGTACAGTGGTGTTGTCATAACTCACTGCAACCTCAAACTCCTGGGCTTAAGTCTGCCTTAACCTCCTAGTAGCTGGGACTATAGGCACATATCACAATGCCAAGCTAATTTTTTTTTTTTTTTTTTGGTAATGACAAGATCTAGCTCTTGTTTAGACTGATCTCAAACTCCTGGCCTCAAGTGATCCACCCGCGCCTCCCAAAGTGCTAGAATTATAGGTGTGAACTACTAAGCCAGCTAAGATCTGATGTTTTTTATTGGTTAACAGGGTAGTCCATTTTTTCCAGTAGCTACAACTGTTTTAAGTCAGTTTATTTAAGAGACTATTAAAATTAAATGAGATACTCTTTTTTTTTTTTTTTTTTGAGACAGAGCCTCAAGCTATCCCCCTAGGTAGAGTGCTCTGGCATCACAGCTCACAGCAACCTCCAACTCCTGGGCTCAAGCGAGTCTCCTGCCTCAGCCTCCCAAGTAGCTGGGACCACAGGCGCCCGCCACAATGCCTGGCTATTTTTTGGTTGCAGCCATCATTGTTGTTTGGCGGGTGCGGGCTGGATTCGATCCGCCACCTTAGGTGTATGTGGCTGGCGCCTTAGCCACTTGAGCCACAGGTGCCGAGCCATAAAATTAAATTAGATAATCTTGAAAAATGCTTAGGTTCATTCAAATATAATTTATATTACAATCAGAATCTTCTTTTTAAATTATTTTTGAGTGAATCATAACTTTGTACATTGATGCATTTATGGGGTTTAGGGTACTGCTTTGATATACAATGTGAAATGCTTACATTGAACTTAGTAACACATCCATCACAATTATACACATTTCTTAATAGTTTTGAAATGTACCAGTGCATCATGCAAATTAGGTGAGGTCCCCCCACATACCCTCCCTCCTCCCATATCTCCCTTCCTCTCTCCTCTGTCTCTTCTTCCCTTCTACTTTCTGGACAATAGTTATGTTTTGCCATTCATGTGAGAGTATTGGTGGTTATATATTGATTTCATAGTAGTATTGAGTACATTGGATACTTTTTTTCCCATTCTTGAGATACTTTACTAAGAAGATTATGTTCCAGCTCCATCCAGGTAAACGTTAAAGATGTGAAGTCTCCATCTTTTTTATGGCTGCATAGTATTCCGTGGTCTACCTATACCAGAATTTGTTAGTCCATTCATGGGTCAAAGGGCACTTGGGTTGTTTCCATGTCTTGGCTATTATGAATTGGGCTGCAATAAACATTCTGGTGCAAATTTCTTTGTTGTAAAATGATTTGTGATCATCTGGGTATATACCTAGTAGAGGAATTGCAGGATCGAACAGTATATCTACTTTTAGTTCCTTGAGTGTTCTCCAGACTTCTTTCCAAAAAGGTTGTATTAACTTGCATTCCCACCAGCAGTAGAATCCGAATCTTTTAATTAATTATTATTTATATTAATATGAGGGTACAATTTTTAGGTTCCATTGTTCTCAAATTAATATGAGGGTACAATTTTTAGGTTCCATTGTTCTCACTTACAGGGTAAAGTTCCATTTGTAGAAGAGCCCCTCACCCAGGGGGCATGTTATATACCCTCATAATATGCACATTAGGTGAGATCCCACCTCATGCCCTCCCTCCTTCTGCCAAACTTCCTCTCCCTTTCCACTTCCCTCTACCCCTGAACTGGACTATATTAGTGTTTTATTCTTATGAGCATGTAATTGTTTATATATTGATTTTATGTTAGTATGGAGTACATTGGATATTTATTTTTCTATTCTCATGGTACTTTACTAAGAAGAATATATTTCAGCTTCATCCAGGTAAATGTGAAAGATGTAAAGTCTCCATCTATTTTAATGGCTGAATAGTGTTCCATCGTTTACATATACCAGTTTGTTGATCCATTCTTGGGTTGATGGGCACTTAGATTGCTTCCACGACTTGGCAATTGTGAACTGAGCCACAATAAACATTCTAGTGCAAATGTCTTTGTGGTAAAATGATTTACCTAGTAATAGGATTGCAGGGTCAGGGTCTACATTTAGATCTTTGAGGATTCTGCATACTTCTCTCCAAAAAGGCTGTATTAGTTTGTACTCCCACCAGCAATGTAGAAGTGTTCTCTTCTCTCCACATCCATGCCAGCATTTGGTGTTTTGGGACTTTGTGATGTGGGCTAATCTTGCTGGGGTTAGGTGATATCTTAGAGTGGTTTTAATTTGCATTTCTCTGATGATTAAGGAAGATGCGCATTTTTTCATGTGTTTGTTGGCCATTCGTCTGTCATCCTAGGAGACATTTCTGTTCAAATCTCTTACCCAGTTAAAGAGAGGGTTGTTTGTACTTTTCTTATTGTTTAAATTGAATTCTCTGTAGATTCCAATTATCAAGTCTTTGTCAGATTCATAACATGCAAAAATCTCCTCCCATTCTGAAGGCTGTCTTTTTGCTCTGTCTGTAGTTCCCTTAGCTGTGCAAAAAACTTTTTAGCTTGATCAAATCTGTTATTTTTGGTGTTGCTCCAATTGCTATGGGGGTCTTCCTCATAAAGTTTTTTCCCAGGCCAGTATCTTCAAGTGTTTTCCCACACTCTCTTCTAGAATTTTTATTGTTTCGTGACTTAAATTTAAATCTTTTATCTGAGAATCAATTTTTGTCAGTGGTGAGAGGTGTGGGTCCAGTTTCAGTCTTCTGTATGTGGATAACCAGTTCTCCCAGCACCATTTGTTTTTTTTTTTGTTGTTGTTTTTCTTCTTCTTCTATAGGTCGTATTTTCATTCTGTTAGTATTTTTTGACATGCAAAAGGTTTTGGTTTTGAAGTACTCCAATGCAGTATGTTTTTCTTTAGTTCTTTGTGCTTTAGTTGTCATATCAAAAAACATTTCTCTAATCCAGGCTCATGAAAATTTATTCCTAAGTTTTCTTCTAAGATTGGTATAGTATTAGTTCTTATATTTAGATTTGTAATGTCTTTTAAGTTAATTTTTTTCTATATGGTTGTCATTTGCTTCAGCATCATTTGTTGAAATGACTATTCTTGGCATTCTTGTTGAAATTCAGTTGACCATTACTGTATGAGTTCATTTCTGGATCTTCAGTTACATTCTACTGACCTTTATGCTCATCCTATCTTATCTTATCCACTGTCTTTTTTGCTATAGATTTGCAGTAAGTTTGGAAATCAGGAAGTGTCCATCCTCCCATCTTTGTTCATATTCAGGATTGTTTTGGCTATACTGGATTCCTTGGATTCTGTATGATCTTAAAGAAAAGCCTTTTTTTTGGCTCGGCACCTCTAGCGCAGTGGCCAGGGCACCAGCCACATATATCAGAGCTGCTGGGTTTGAATCTAGCCCAGGTCTGCCAAACAACAATGAGAACTAGAACCAAAAAATATCCAGGTGTTGTGGCAGATGCCTATAGTTCCAGCTACTTGGGAGGCTGAGGCAAGAAAATTGCCTAAGCCCAAGAGTTTGAGGTTGGCTCGGTGCTTGTGGCTCAAGTGGCTAAGGCGCCAGCCACATACACCTAAGGTGGCAGATCGAATCCAGCCCAGGCCCGCCAAACAACAATGATGGCTGCAACTGAAAAAAAAAATAGCCAGGTGTTGTGGTGGGCGCCTGTGGTCCCAGCAACTTGGGAGGCAGAGGCAGGAGACTCGCTTGAGTCCAGGAGTTGGAGGTTGCTGTGAGCTATGCCACGGCACTCTACCCAGGGGGACAGCTTGAGGCTCTGTCTCAAAAAAGAAAAAAAAAAAAGAGTTTGAGATTGCTGTGAACTGTGACTTGACGGCGCTCTACCCAGGGTAACATAGTGAGACTCTATCTCAAAAAAAAGCTTTTTTATTTCTGTCAAAAAAGATAAAAGGCAGTGAAATTTTTATAGGAATTGCATTGAGTCTTTTGATAAATTTGATGGGATCCAGCACCATTTGAATCAGAATCTTAGAGTTAGAAAAAACTTAAAAAGGGCTGAATGCTTTGAAGCCCTTTGACCCATCTCTTAAGTTCTTTGGATTATTATTATTATTTTTATTTTTGTAGCAATTTTATGAGTGAATTTAGTGCTGAGTTGGTCAGAGATGGATGATAGGGTAATCTTCCTGATACGGGGACTAGTTGGGGGGTTGGTAGTGTTAAAAATTGAATTCCCTGGTTTAAATTAAATAGGATATGTGTGGAGAGAGAATTAGATTTTCCTTAAATGCAGCTGGATTGACTAGTCGTAAATTATTGTTTGGATTCATTTGAACTAGAGGTATCTGTTTTAACATTTTTGTGTTTAGACATTTCTCATCCATCTTAAGTGTTCTTGTTCCTTTCCATAGGATATGGTCTACCGGACGATATTGTGATAGAAAAGAGGGGCAAAGGTGACACTTTTGTGGACTGCACAGGTGCAGATATTAAAATCTCATGCATAAAATTTGTTCAGCATGACGCTGTAGAAGGAATCTTAAGTAAGTATCTGAACATTTGGTGTTTGATTTGTCCTAAACTTTGAAGGAAAACTTTACTTTTTATGGAAGATAGAATTTAATGAAATACCCCTCATGAGTACAGTAATACATTGTTTTATTTACTACACAGATACTGAGTTTTTCAAAAATTGAAGGTTTGGGGCAACCTTGCTTTGAGCAAGTGTATCGATTACCATTTTCCAGCAGCACGTGCTCACTTTGTGTCTGTGTGTTCCATTTTCATAATTATTATAGCATGTCAGACTTTTAAACTTCATCTGTTATGCTAATCTGTGATCCGTGATCTTTGCTATTACTACTGGAATTGTTTTGGAGCACCGTGAACTGCATCCATTTAAGATGGTGAACCTTATACTGTTCGATAGTCATCAATACTATGTGTTTTGACTGCTCCCACTAGTCTTAGTTTCCTGCCCCTCTCCTTTTCCTCTGGCCTTCCTGTTCCCTGAGTCACAACAATATTGGAATTAGGCCCCATCAATAACAACCATCCAATGGCTTCTGAGTGTTCAAATGAAAGAAAGATTTGCACATCTCTCAGGTTAAATAAAAAACTGGAAATAATTCAACTCAGCGCCCGTAGTACAGTGGTTACAGTGCCAGTCACATACGTTGAGGTGACATAGTGAGACTCTGTCTCAAAAGAAAAAGAAACTGGAAATAATTAACCTTAGTGAGGAAGACATGTCCCAACCTGAGGCAGACTAGAGGTTAGACCTCTTGTGGCAAACAGTTAGCTGAACTGTGCATGCAAAGGGAAAGTTCTTGAGGGAAATTAAAAGTGCTAGTTTAGTGAACACTTGAATGATAAGAAAATAAAACAGCCATATCGTTGCTATGGAGAAAGTTGTAGTGGTTTGGGTAGAAGAGTCAACCAGCCACATCATTCTCTTAATTCATAGCAAGACCCTACTTCTCTTCAATTCTCTAAAGGCTGAGAGAGGTGAGGAAGCTACAGAAGAAAAGTTTGGAGCTAGCAGAGGTTGCTTCAAGAGATTTAAAGAAAGAAGCCATCTCTGTAACATAAACATGCAAGGTGAAACAGAAAGCTCTAATATAGAAACTGTAGTAAGTTATCCAGAAGATCTAGCTAAGATGACGGATGGAGGTAGATATGCTATAAACAACAGTTTTTGTTTTTGTTTTTGTTTTTGTTTTTGGATACATTAAAATTTGGTTTAATATTTCTTTGTGGCAAAAAAAAAAAATCACATTTGTAGTAAACAAACTACACACATCTTTAGGCTATTGTTTTTTGTTTTTAACTACCATCCCATGAATTCATAGGGAAGAGGCTCCAGTAGCTCAGGGAGGCATCTTGCCATTGCATGTGACAAAACACTGACTTTTGAATTCATGGGAAATAGGTTCCAGCACCGTATATCACTGTTACATGGGGTCTAATTGGTTATCCTGTGTGCTATGCTGTACACTTATTATGTCACGAGCTCATGGAGAGTAAATAGGTTCTTGTACCTAAAAGCATGGGTCCACGGTACTCCTGTGTGCTATGTTATACGCTTTATGCCATGAATTCATAGGGAATGGGTTCCAGGAGCTCAGGCTCCTTTCCATTGGTTCTCACAAAGTGGGCTTCTCTGGGTGGAGCAGGCTGGCGCTTCAGTTGAACCCAGGTACCTTTCTCTTTGGCTTCCTTCTTTTTCTGATCATTTTCCTTCACACATTTCAGGAAGCTATCTCGGCTCTTAGAGTGCTTAATATGCTCAATACGAACATTAATCGTCTTGGCAAGAATCTTGCCCTTAACTTGTTTGTTTACAACAATGCCAACAGCATGCTGGGTAACATTGTAGACTCTTCCAGTGTTGCCATGGTAACATTTGTGTGGCATGCCTTTTTGAACAGTACCCATTCCCTTGATGTCTACAATATCACCTTTCTTGTAGATTCGCATATATGTGGCCAAAGGAACAACTCCATGTTTTCTAAAAGGCCTAGAGAACATGTATCGGGTGCCTCTCCTTTTTCCCTTTGTGTTCGTCATTTTGGTGAATTACTGAAAGATGGCGTCTCCGGCCGAAAGGCTGTTTTTGTTTTTTAAGACAGAGTCTCAAGCTGTCACCCTGGATAGAGTGCTGTAGCGTCACAGCTCACAGCAACCTCAAACTCTTGGGCTTAAGCGATTCTCTTGCCCCAGCCTTCCAAGTAATTGGGACTACAGGCACCCACCACAATGCCTGGTTACTTTTTGGTGGTAGTTGTCATTGTTGTTTGGCAGGCCTGGACTGGATTCGAACCCACCAGCTCTGGTGTATGTGGCTGGTGGCCTACAGGTGCCTAGTCAATAACAAATTTTTTATATAAATGCAGCAGCCTTATATTAGAAGAAGATACTATCTAAGACTTTCATAGCAATAGAGACGTCAATGCCTGGCTTCAAAGTTTCAAAGGACAGACTGAATCTCTTGTTAGGGCCTAATGCAGCTATGGCTTTAAGTTGAAGCCATTGCTCATATGCCATTTCCCAAATCCTAGAGCCCTTAAGAATTATGCTAAATCTACTCTGCCTGTGCTCTCTAAATGCAACCCGAAAACCTGGATCACAACACATCTGTTTATAGGATGGTTTACTGGAGGGTTTACTGTGAGACCTTCTGCTCGGAAGAAAGGATTCCTTTCAGGAGGCTGATTGACAAAGCATCTAATCATCCAAGACCTATGAAGGAGATGTACAAGTAGACGCATTCATATTGTTTCAAGCCCAACACAGCAATCATTCTGCAGCCCATAGGTCCAAGAGTAACTTAGCTCTCCAGTCTTATTACTTAAGAAATAAAGTTTATAAGGTGGTGGCTGCTCTAGATAGTGACTCCCCTGATGGATCTGAGCAAAGTCAATCGAAAACTTTCTAGGAAAGATTCACCAATCTAGATGCCATTAAGAACATTGGTATTGCCATGCACGGTGGCTCATGCCTGTAATCCCAGCACCGTGGGAGGCTGAGGAGGGAGAATTGCTTGAGCTCAGGAGTTCAAGACTCGCCTGAGTAAGAGTGAGACCCTGACTCATGAAAAAAAAGGAAAAACCCAGCTGGGCACCCTGGTTAGTGCCTGTAATCCCAGTGGCTTCCGGAGGGAGGCAGTGGGATGACCACAGCCTGAGTCTAAGGTTGCAGTGATGCCACTGCACTGCTCAGGGGCATAGGGTGGAACTCTGTCTCAAAAAAAAAAAAAAAAAAGGAAAGAAATAAAAAATAAGCAAGGAAATAAAAAAACACACCCATATTCACAGAAGGAGGTAAATGTATCAACATGAGCAAGGGTTTGGAAGAAGTTGATTCCACCCCTCATGGATGTCTTTGAGAGGTTAAAAACACAAGTGGAGGAAGTAATTGTGTATGTGGTGGAGATAGCAAGAGAAGTAGCATTAGAAGTGGAGCCTCAAAGTGTGAGTGAGTTGGTACAATCTCATGACAAAAACTAAGTGGACGAGGGTTGCTTTTTATGGATCAGCAAAGAGAGTGGTTTCTTTCTTTCCTTTCCTTTCCTTTTCCCTTTCCTTCTTGTCTTACTTTGTTTCTCTGACTGGAGTGCCATGGACTCAGCTCATAGCAACTTCAAATTCCTGGGGTCAAGCGATCCTCTTGTCTCAGCCTCCCACGTAGTTTGGGACTACAGGTGCCTCCCACAATGCCCAGATAGAGAGAGGTTTCTTGAGATGGAATCTACTGGTGAAGATGCTGTGAACATTGCTAGAATGACAGCAAAGGATCTAGAAAATTATGTAAGCTGAATTGATAAAGCAGTGACAAGGTTTCAGAGGATTGACTCCAATTTTAAAGGAAGTTCTACTTGGCTAAAATATTGTTACAACAGTATCACATGCTACTGTGAAATCTTTCATGAGTGGAAGAGTCAATTTATACACAAACTTCATTATTTCCTTACTTTAAAACATTGCACAGCCAGCCCAACCTTTAGCAGCTACCACTCTGGTCAGTCAGTAGCCATCAACACTGAGGCAAAAAGATCACAACTTGCCAGAGGCTCAGATGGTCATTAGCACCTTTGAGCAAAATATAGGATATTAAAATTAAGATGTGTAGATTTTTTAAAAACCCTAATGTTATCTCACACTTAACAGATTACAACACAGATTAAACATAACTTATGCAT